CGCTGAGGCCATTGCTTCACGTGAGCACACCAAGCCGCACTCGCGAATACTGGACCTAAAGCGTATACCACACCCTCTATGCTTCGGGTGCAGAGTGATGAAATATTGGAACAGTGCCTGCGGAAATTGTCGGGGCGAAATTGGTGTCGGAATTTAAGCAATTTCTAGACATTCACTTTGTGGATTTCAGATACAGGGAGCGCATCGCATCCGAATAGTTTACAGTGCAGTTGTAATATGCAGCAGATGCTCAGGAATCACGGACGTGACCCTGCGTACGTGCCTAAACTAATTACGATGGAGCAACACGGACGCATGTCCACTAGCTCTCTATTTTCAGTATGCAGTATTCATTAGCAATTAAATGGACATCACATCGTGGACAAAATACTGTGCACATATGTACTGTACATGATCGCAAAGCGCACACACACACACGGTTGGGCCTACAGTTTCTTGCACAGTTAAGAAAATGAGGCTATTATTACACTGTCAAGCAAAAAATTTAGTTTCTACCATAGAGATGTCAGTAGCTACCTTATATACTACACTCCACTGATCGTAGAAATGTATTCCGATGTTACCTAGCACGTCAGGTTACACTGTTATGACCTAATGATTATTTTCAGTAATGTCGAGGCTATGTCGTTCGAATTATATGCAAATGAACTGACTCACAACATATACAGTATGCATGTATGAGGCAAATACGTTTAAAACATTACTGCTTCACTCGCACCTAACCACTGACTGCAGCTTGGCACTGGGATATGATGATTTCATCGAGATCGTCGTTTGTATGATCCAGTGCCCTCAGGCTGCAGAAACCAGCAAATCACCCACAATAGAAGGCGTGTACTTGCCGCTGTAGCGTTGCTCCATGAACGAAATGTCTTGGTGAAAGCACTGACCATGCTCATCGCTAACAGATCCCAAGTTCTCGGAGAAAAAGTCAAAGTGATTATGCAAAAAGTGAATCTTCGGTAAAGTTGCAGCAACAACAGCCCGATAGTCCGTAATGACTTCTTTTACGATGTCTTTGTAGTTCTTTGCCTTTGTTCCACTCAAAAATCCTACACACTGCTTTAAATGGCCTCCACGCTTCTAACTTTAATGAAGTTAACTGGCATTCGAAAGCACTGTCTGCCATTACCTGGCGAATATCAGGCCAAATAAGTATCCCTTATTTGAGCTTCGTATTTACTGATCTTCGGAAACACTTGTTTCAGGTACCGCAAAGTAAAACAATCTCGCTTGAGGGCTATGACGAAGTTATTAATCAAACCAAGCTTGATGTGCAGGGGTGGTAGATAGATATGATCAGGTTGCACAAGAGATGTATGCTTTAGACTGATTTTCTATGCAGCATACTCCGCCCTTGCTGGCCCATTTTCAGTTGTGTATTGCTGCTGAGCTGCTATACTGTCCCCTAAGCATAAGAAACGGCAGTATATATATATATATATATATATATATATATATATATATATATATATATATATATGCAGTAGTCTATAAATAGACACCGAGCCATCGAAAAATTATGAGGATCAAAATAGAAAAAAGTATAAACGTCAGGAAGATAAAAAAAACTTTGGTTTTCTGTTTTTTTTTGTCTCTTTTCACACACCATTTTGTTCTTCTTTTGGCATTTTGAATGGTGTAGTTCTAATCACATTGTTCAAAACATTGCAATGTACATTCCTTCCACTGATTTCGGTTTCGCGCCATATCGCCAAGGGTCTCAAACCATTTGCATTCCTCATCATTGGGCTCCCAACCAGGAAGACATACTGGGCCGATGATTGCTAGACAGGAGGTAAGCGATTCCATTGTTTGCCGCCATATGGTTGGCTGACCCTGACGCGTTCTCTTCCAATTCAAACCAGTGCGGGCAAAAAAGACGCAAATAAGACGCGGGGTGGTAAGCGTATGCATGATATACGTAGGAAGTGGCCAAGCCACTTCAATTGACGCATAGAGATAAGGCGATTAAGCGGAGGGCTCATGTTTCCCAAGACGCGACACTGGACTTCATCGTTGCGAACCCGGTGCTGCCCCAACACAAGGGCTATACGCTAAAAACATGTGTTGTCGAAGGCCGGAAGCCTAGGCATGTCATCCAGACGAATCGGCCAGAATTCGCTTCCGTACAACAGGACCGCAGGTACACAAGCGTTGTAGACCCTCCCGTTTAAGAGAGGGATATGTCCCGAGGACGCCACAAATGACTCAGGTGGGTAAATGCCGACCGGGATCTGGCAATGTGAAGGTATACCACTTTTCCAATAGTGCCATCAGCAGAAATACAGCTTCTAACTTAGACAAAGTTGTCCACAAGCTCTAGCTGTGTTCCTTCAATGGTAAGTGAGGGGCAGACGACTTCCAGTCCTGGAGTAGCACTTTACACTTCAAGGGGGAAAAGCGCATACCACACATAGACGCTTCAATCGCCAGACGGTTCAAAATTAGTTGTATAATCTATGACTCGTTACCGAGCAGGGCGATATCATCAGCATAATCTAAGTCGGTCACGCGATTTCCAGGAAGAAGCTTAACACCAAGATTTTGGGAGGCTTCCATAGATCTCAAGAGGACGTTCTCAATTGCAAAGTTGTAGAGGAATGGAGACAAAGAACACTCTTGTCGAACACCACTAATGATAGCGAAGGGTGAGGAAAGCTTGCCATAGACCTTCACTCTACCCGATACTTGGAAGTAAAGCGCCCGAATGATAGAAATGTATTTTCCAGGGAGTCCATTTCTTAGCAGACAGTGCCATAAAGCAGGCCGATCAACCGAGTCAGATGCAGCTCGAATGTCCAGAAAAACGACAATGGTTGGCTGGTGATAGAGATGGCGGTGTTCAAGGATTTGGCGTAGCGTGAATATTTGGTCTACATAGCCTCGACCGGGGCGAAAGCCAGCTTGTTCTTCTCGGTAAAACAACTCGCGGATCGGGGATAGTCTGCGGAGCAGGATGGATGCCAGCAGTTTAGAAGCAACCGGCATGTGACTGATTCCCCTATGATTAGCACAGTATGTGTGAGTACTTTTCTTGAAAATATAGACAATTACTGACCCATCCCAGGAGGATGGAGTCGTTTCTTCGTGGTATGTCTTGGAAAACAGCGATGCCAACTGCTTGACAAGCGCTGGGCCGCCAAACCTGAACATCTCCAGAGCACGTTTGTCCGATATACATACCATGTTATCCCATTCTCCTTCAGAATGGTGGGATGCAATAAAGACATAGCTGGGTACACATTTTGCCTGTGGAGCAGTATGGCATTAAGACTACTCTTGGATGAGTCAATGAACAAACGTCAGTCAGCACTGATATGCCTCACCCCAAGCTCCTTCATCAGTCCTTTCACGTCGGAAGAGTAACAAAAGGTTTCTGTAGTATCACAGAAACCGGACAATGTAACACTTCGCTTTCTGTGTACAGTAACCTTAGTGTTTGCAGCACATAAGTGTCACTGCTGCAGCCAAGTTGCCAGCAACTCGGCTTTGTGTTTAGGCAAGCCCAGGTCACGTACCAAGTGATACAGCCCTGATTGTTCAATAAAATGTGGGTCGACAACATTAGGTTCAAAGTTTTCACAGATGTCAGAACTAGGGGGAAGTTGATGATGCAGTAGCATTACTCATCATCAGTGACATGTTCACCAGAGGATTGCAAATGGCATCTTGCCTTTGCTTTTGAGCCACTCAGTCAGATGTGGAATACACGACACACAAACAATACGCGGCGCCCACTTCTTATCCTGATCTCCCAGTTTCATCCCGAAATACGCGTGGTAGGCAGAATTCAGTAGTGAAGAAATGGGTCTGCATTGCGACTTTGTATTAAACTGTCCACAGACGTAACAAAAATGATTTCAGACGTTTCGTTGCCCGACTAGGCAACATCATCAGTGCGGCTTCAGGGGCCTGGTTCGCAGTGCCTCGTAAGCGACCTTAATGTCCAAGTGCTTATTGATCGAGCTCTGCTTTGAATACCAGGCTTCAATGAACTCACGTGCTTGCCGGCTTTTAGCCCTTCCGAGGATACTGGCGTGCACTAGGTAGGATTGATGGTCCTCGGCATCCATTTGCATTGACATCAGGAAGTTCTAATCGTGGCAACGAATGGCTGGGCTGTGTTCGGGTAGCCTTGTGTCAAGCTTTCTTCCAGTTTGTCCCACGTAGTAATTGTCGCCGTTCCGGAAGCAGACCTTATAAACCACACCAGTTTCTTCCTCTTTGCTAAGTTTATCTTTGACTTTGTTTACTGCGAATTTTTTTCGTTGGCTGGTGTGCAATTTTGACTCCAAAAGGCAATAAAAGCGTCGCTACCATTTCAGAGATTCCGTTAATATAGGGCAGAGTTGCTCTGCACAATAATCACTCAGCTCGGAGAACAGCTCAAAACCCGCATCCACACCCCGAGCTACGGATATTCTCATTTATTACAAAAATGATTTCAGTCAGTGACACAGCAACATCTTTCACCCATGATAAAGATATCAAGTAAGAAAACACAGCTCTCAATCGGCTTTCAGTATCAAGTGAACACCATGGCCAAGATCACTTCTTGTATACGGTTACAGGGAGCGAATGGACCAATCACAGGCGAGCATTCGGTGCGTGGAACGCACTACTTAGCTGAAACGAAAATCTGAAATTAAACAAGAACATTAGGTGGTAGAAACATCTGATTTGCATATTTGCAGTCAGCTCACTTGGTACTACTAACAACACTCTATCTCATTTCGGTTATAAAAATGATGTTGTACAGTATCTATGCGTTATCGGAACGTGGTGTTTCAAGGTATTGAGAAGACCCAGCGAAATACAAAGAAAAGGTCACAGAAGAAACGCGACGACCTAGATGAAAATAGAGTATCCAGAATGTTAACAAATGTCACACACACACACACACACACACACACACAGTACTGAGAGGTAACCAGAGTGGTAGGGAGGAGATTAAACGACAGAAAGCAAATACGTACCGAATGTCTGTCCGAAAGCCGATTGCACAGCTTGATCGGTCGCCTCCAACGAGTGCTCTCGCCAAACTTCACCATTATCACTACGCAGCACGACCAACTCTCGCTGACGGCCGCACAGCGCGGCAAAGTGGGGGATTTCCAACAGCACGGGAGAGTTAAACGAACACGGATGTGGGCCCAACTCGATGATACTGCATAATAAGGGGAAGGGAGAGCATGGAAGGAATAATTGAGTGCTCGGGGGAAATTAAAAGACAAACGGTTCACACTTCAAGTGCTATGCATACGTCAAATCAGGTGGGTTATGCAATCAGGCACGATGGGTATTAAGCCGTGTGGAGCGAGTTTACAGTGTGGTCAGTAGTGTCGTGCGTCAGAATTGAGGTTGGGACGGGAGATATGTAAATATCAAAGGATTGTATCACGCATGTTACTAGCTTAATGAAAGGGAACAGCAGATAAGCGGAGGACGGTTTGAAGTGCAAAGCGCAAAAATTGGCTAATCAACATAGATGAGTGGCTGAGCAAGTCTGTGACATTACCTAAAAACCTTGAGTGCCAGAAGCGAAAGTCAAAACTCACATATTTTGCTTAAGTGAACACGAAGCGAGGACACCCAAGCGACCCACAGGACTAGCAGGATAGCTAGTGTTTCAGTAGGCATTGTATACTATCCAAGTCTACTGGTTCATCATCATCATCATCATCATCATCATCATCGTCAATAAGGATAGTACTTCAGTGCTTCGCCACCATACAACCGCAAGAACCCTGCACTAAGGCGGAATAGGAATATGGGTGGAAACACCCGAGTTAAAATTGTAATGCTTTAGTGAAAAATTAGAACCAAGATGCGTACACCTTGCAAATAACACGCAGTCGCAGAGATCTAGTAGTTAGGTACATCAACTGAATGTCTTCCTCAGGGTTTTCACTGTCATGCACCGTACTCAGCCCTACACATAACTCGGATGCTCAAGTATACTCTAAACAGGAAACTAGGCTAGAAGATAAAGGGAAGCATACTACGATTGTCGGACATTTGCTATGTCCTACGACATCCGGGTCAAGCGCGGGATGAGCCGCGTGGTCTCCACCTAGAAGATGAGTTACATGATTAAGCTGTATGGATCTAAAAGGATTATGGTGGCCGCGGGAAATCAGGGGAAGTAGACCAACTAAGGAAGCAGCTAAGCGGCGGTAAACATATGTAAAAAGAATACGGAAATTCAGTTAGAGCATATTGGATATACAGCAGCTTCAGTTTAAAAGTTACACGATTGGGGTTGTAGTTTACAACAGACGAAATACGATAACTAGCTGAAAGAAGACACATGTTATGAGTGAAGACGAGATGAGCATTCGGGAAGGCAGCAGACCGTTGATGGGAATATCCCTTGATATGTTACAGTTTGCTGAGTTTGGCAATTCTGTCATCAATCGAAACAATCTCATCAGTGCGTTCATGTGTAGCAATGGAGTAGAGCGATACGCAGTCAGAATGGAATCGGGTAGTGGTGCGCGTGCGTTCTTTTGTAGACTATCGCCACTGGTTGTTTAAGCAGCCTGTGTTCTGATTGGCCGACGAGCAAGTGACCGTTGGAACTGTCCTCTTCGATCCATGCCCCATGACCGTTGCCGGTGTGCCTACGCGTCCGACCTGTTGTTCCGGTATGCTCTTCCCTTTGGTGTCATTTGACCACGCTGGTGACACTTTGCTCGTAGTGTTACGTATGCGGCACCCAATACAACGTGTCGATGAATTGTATTGGTTGCGGAATACCATGCTTCTAAGAATTTCCTTGTTTTCCTTGAACTCTCAAGTGCCAGAACTTTTACTTTTTCCAGACCAACATGGTAATCTTCTTGATTCCCATGTATAGAAAGCGAACAGTATGAATCCTGGGTTCTTATGGCTTTCCTGGGCTCAGAATGGTCTGTGTGGACAGCTTCTTCCCAGCTGTCACATGCATTACAGTTTGTCTGGTAAATGAAATTGGTGTGATTGTCTGGTTTGTCTTTATCCTTCGGTCCTTAAATCAGTTCTCAGATTAGCATTTGGTTCGTGCACTATATGGTGATTCTGATGCCATCAGGGACCACCTAACTAGATTAGGTAGCCCCAAAAGATTGTGAGAAAGACCTAAAAATTAGGCAACACGACTCAGTAAGCCTGTGCAATTGCAGAAGTGATACCTGACATAAACAGAAAAAGGCCTATTTGTTTCCTCTTCATTATAGACAGTGGTGAGAAAGTATGACTAAACGGAAGAGGGCAGATATCGACTTTAGTACGTCTGTTAGCCGCGCAAGAAACCCATTGCTTTGCAAAAATGATGATAATGTATGTGCATTTGTGGCACTTGTGACAGATTATTTATCTTCCAGTTTCGCTTCGTTAGGAACTCGTAAGGGGGCCACAAACGTGAACCAAAACGAACACAAGGACGATTGTGTACCCCGATGTCGGTACAGACAGACTGCTCAATCACTAGCTTATTCATTGCTATCATCATCGCTTCCAGTTTGTTCAGTGGAGGCCCAAGGCTTCGCTGAAGCTTTAAAATCAGGCGACAAAGTACACTTATCTTTCGATCCATGTAGATATCTTTCTCTGCGTACACCTTTCTTCACAACTCTTAAGTGAATATAGGGAAATTCGGAATCGAACCCGATCGCAAATTTCAGATAAATTGCAGTCAAAAGGGCGAAAATAAATTCCGGGTGCTATACGGAGCTTGAACTGTCACCAGACTGAATGGTACGCAAGCATTCAAGTCCTGACGATCGTTGATGGATCACCCCTGCATCATGGAGTAAACGAGTAACAGACATCGGATCTCGAATTTTGACAGCTAACCGACAGCAACGTCAGTTTCAATTAGGTTAGCAACGCCAGCACCACGCGGACTTTACTTCGCCGGCCAATGATGCTCGGTAATGAACCCGCGGCTTTACGGGGACGTAAAGTCTAGCCTTCCCCGATAAGCCGGTACCCCACCGTCTCCGAAGCGAATCGATGCTCGAGATTCAAGAGGCTGTTACTGATATTTGCCGAAAGCTTTTTGGTGACTTGACAACTGGGGGAGGGGGGCGATGCAGCCACTGGAATAAGTGAACCGGTAGACAATTTTGAGTAATGTCTCGGCAACTGTCTGAATCGGTGGCGCGTGTGTACAATTGCGAAACGATGTGCTACACTTTAGGACGAGAAGCACGAGCCGAGACAGAAAGATAGACCACTGTGTCAACCAACCAGAAGCATCTGCGTAGTGATCGGGCTCGATCACAAGAAGTTCATAAAGCCGGTGTACGCAGTTGGTCAACCGGCAAAACCTCGATTGCAGTATAGTAGAAAAGATTCATGATGACATTCTGATGATAGATGTAAAGAGAGTGTTAGGGACAATGTGGTCGTAATGCACATCATGTGTGGTGGCGAACTTCAGTACAATCGTCTATGGTGAGAAGACGAAGTGCCTGTATTCAGTGATGTTTACGAAGTTAGTAGTAATAATTCGCAATACGATAAACTGGAAGTGGGTGCGAACAAATGTACGGAGGGAAAACGGATTGCTCGTCCCTACGCCTAGAGTAGAACAAAAGTAAACGAGTTGTATGGACAAAAAGCGTAATATTAATCAGGGTTATCGCGACAGCCTCAATGAAACGGAAGAACGAGTTAGAATGATGTGGCGAATTGTGGAATGCCGAGTTGTACTCAACCCAGCGATCTGTGGTCAATAGGCGTCTGTCGATCAGAGGGCCGACGATTCACGAGCACAAGGAAAGTGAGGCAAGCCCAATTACTACGCGTACTCGAGTTGACCTCACTTTTGCATTAGTTCCTCAGTTCGAGGAGTTCGCTCAGCAATTACTTACCAAATGGTCAACACAATGTGAGTCGGCTCCGATAAGTTAAGCTTCCTCTAATGGAGACTGTGGCACCCTCAGAATCCAACTGACGACCAAACTTTGGTGATACAGAATTTACTAGTTGTAGAAGAGAACAGACAAATTGTAGTCCTCAACATTCACAGGGCAGTCCTGTGAATGTGTTTCCTCTGGTTACCACGGGTGGTAGTACATTTCTCGATGTACCGATCCGGTCGCACTCCATAAGGAACCTCCGAGGTTAGCCGTTTGACACTATCTCCACGGCTCGAACTGCGCGTGATTAGAAAGACGGTGTTATCAAGCAGGCAATCCGGCATGCACGTAGCTGTCAGCCTACGTCTTCACAGTGTGTACTTCAAATTGAAGAACTAACTGTTGTACACGCTTTGCATATCTTTGCAGATTTCAGAATTGAAAGGAATCCATATGGCACGTACCCACACAGTAAGGAGAGAATAACGTGTAGGATATCGTTCGAGCACTGATCGGAAACCTCTAAGGCCATTTGTCAGACACCGTTTTAGAGTAATGCAGATGACCAAATTGAGCAAAAGACCAGAAATACAGGCCACACCCAGGGATGGCGAGTAGCTTCCGGGGGCCTCATCACGGCCTTTTGGGGTGGTGCTTTCGACCGGATCTGGTGAATTCAGCTCAGTACATGTAGGGGTCTCAAATAGGAATGACAGGATCTAGTGCTGGATTGTGAGCATAGGAGTGGAGAAACTAGTGTCGCAGTCCGGTGCTTTGCCACCGGGAAAGCGAGTGTGATAAGGGCGCGCGTTGCGGCGTGGTCAGAAAATAGACGGTTAGTTATTGGGTGTTGTCTGCCAGAAAAAATCTAGCTGCTGCATCAGTTCACTTAGATGGCAATCGCGGTCCACATTGAGATTGCGCGTCGAAATTCATTCATACAACGGGTACTTCAAAATGACCTTCCAATTAGACAGGCAGTTATTTTTATGATCCAATAGGTTTGGAAGTAACTGAAGGACCGAGAGATAAGTCAATGACGAGTAAATTCGATAGATTAATCGACACCCAGATTCCTTAATGGTCAATCCAATTATGCGGAGTCGTAATAGCAATGGTCCTGATATCTTCAATCGAAGGGCTAGCGAACACACAACACCCAATCTATGCGGTGAGTCGTAAACCAATAAAAAATGGAGTGCTTCGCCTCGTCGGTGTACCCGGGAGGAGTTGGTCTGTCCGTGAGCAGGCAACAATTGCGCTTCGATGCAAACCACGCAGCAGAAGATGACACACATCATATCACGCGAAGTGAAAACGG